CACCTGGTGGACCTCTCCTAGCAGCAGTGGTGGTCTTACTGCTGTATGACAACTGCCGTCCAAACACATCGACACTCATGATGTAAATGAGACATTTTGTATAATGTCAGGTCCTAATATATGATTTGAGCCTCACGTAGTTCGTCAATTATAGAGAGAATTTCGTTGGTATGACTGGTATTACCGGCCGCTCGAGATGCTGTGAGGAGGCGGAGTCTATCCACCAATTCATTTGGATTATCCCAGTAAATGTAGTCCATCCTGCTTGTTGTTGTCTTGGGGGCAATCATGGAGTGAGGCAAAAGAGCTGTCCCAGTTTTCGCTGGAGATGAAACCAATGCTGCGATGATATTTGTAAATTTTTCAGTTGGGTTTCTATCTCGTAGAGCTTTGCTGGATTTATAATACAGACGATGTGCATTCGTATGATGTAAAATTTCACCATAATGCTCCTTATCTGTTCCAGTCACATGTATCATTTCAGGATTTTTATCAAATATTAATGTCAATAGACCTGTTGTCAACTTATACTGCTTATCACCAACTGTCATAGAATCTCCATTGAAAGTCACTGTTTTATTCCCAATTTTCCAATTTTCATTCAATTTTCGAACACCAAATTCTTTATCCAAGTCCTTGTCTTTTGCCGTTCCAAATCGCTTGAGATAAGTCTGGAGGTGATTTTCAATTGTATTCGGGACCATTGTTTCATCCAATGACTCTTACGATTTTGATCGACTTTTTGACCTGGAATCATTAGCAAATGATGATGAATTTTGATGACTTGTTGAAGGTAGTGCACGAGCTGGAGTGCTGACCACAGCTTTCTGCTGGAAGTAATCTCTATCTATCTCGTCAAATGACATCCCTGCTGTGTTGTATAAATCATCATCACCATCGTCATTTGATAATGAGTGGAAACGTAACAAACGTTGGTCAATCTTTCTTCGTCTTTTTCTCATATATTCTTTTTTATGCTGCTGCACACTCGTTTGATCAACCAATTTTTCAAGGGGTGTAATTACAGGTTTCAAGACTTCATTTATAGCACGCTCACTAGTGTCTTTACCAAGTTTCAACGTATTATATTTGCGACGAATTGTTTTACTTGCCTCAGCAATGTGACGCAGAACGTCCGACTCAAGTTGCAAGTCTTTACGCTGCATGTTGAAGGTTATACGTTCCATTCAACACTGCCTCAAATCTCCATGTTTAACACCTATTTATATGCACATAGCAATCGAATCCTTTTCGATACCGCCCCTCATGCAATTCACAATCTTTATTAATTGTGATAAACCCATACTTATCAGTACTCCAGCACGCTGCACACAATTCCTTGAACTGGGTATATGACATATCAGTATTGACATGATCATGATAAATGTGTTTCAAATTCATCTCATCCTGACGAAAGAGTATGAGCAAATTTGTATTATCACGCACCAAGTGTTTTGGGATACAAGCGTAAGTCTGACAGAGATAGAAGCAATCTACATCTCGATGTCGACCCATGCAAAAAAATGTTCGCATGTTATCTTGTTTTTCACAGGCAACATCATCGAATATCATAATAGAGTTGGGTTTAGTCTCCTCAGGTTTAACCACTTCATCATGATCATTGAAAGGAAAATAGCCAATCACTTTCACTGTTTCCAATAACTTTTTCAAAAATTGATATTTTGGTTGATTTAGAGATTTCGAGTATACGTAAACATTTTCAAACTTCAAACCATTAGGGTGTGTAATAAGTGCAAACAGAGCGTTTGTCTTTCCACAATTCGAGGGTCCACATATGACTGCTCGTACACTATTGGGGAGGAGGGGACCGTGACGATTTTTTCGCTTATCTTTCTTTTTATCAGTAATTTTATCGAAATTCATCACAGGCAGCTTGGCACTTTGCTCCTTGAACTCCATCTTGACGACTGTCATCGAAGCCTATAAATACGCTGTATTTATGGACTTTCTATTAGTCTCTGGGAGATAATGGCTGCGTGCAAACATGCGAAAACTCGGAAGGGTAAAGGTGTGGTGAACGATCTCATTAATAAATTACCCATTGAACTGCACGTGCCTGGCTATCAGTACTGTGGACCTGGAACGAAGTTGGTGAAACGATTGGCACGTGGTGATCCTGGTATAAATCCTCTGGATGCCGCGTGTAAGGAACACGATATAGCTTATTCAAAGAACAGAGAGAACTTAACAGCTAGGCACGCAGCTGATAGAGCCCTCGCTGATAAAGCTTGGCGTCGAGTTCTAGCCAAAGACGCGAGTCTTGGTGAGAAGGCTGTGGCCTTCGGTGTGGGGAACATCATGAAGGCTAAGAATAAATTCGGCATGGGAGTGAGTCAGAAAACTACTGATGAGAAGAAGAGGAAGACGAAACCGAAGACTGGAAAGGGCTGTCGCAAAAAGAAGGTTGGAGAGGCTAGCAAGAAGAAGATATCATTGCGTCAGATTGTGCAAGCTGCCAAGGGGTCCATGCACCCAGGGTTCGATGTTGTGAAGAGTGCCTTGAAAGGTGCACGTGAGGCTGTGAAACATGCTGGAGGGAGAAAGAAAATGAAAGCTGTACCTCGGATTCTCCCTATTCCAGCAAAAATCGGTGGGATTCTTCCGGCATTCCTCATCCCACTTTTTGCAGGTCTCAGTGCCACTGGTGCTTTCGCGGGTGGTGCTGCTGGTATTGCCAAAGCAATCAACGTCTCCAAGCATGCTGCCACGGCACTTGCAGAGAGTCAGCGACATAATCGTACCATGGAAGCCATCGCCCTGGGCAAGAGGATGTATTTGAAACTCTATAAGTCGGGTTTAGGTTTACATTTGAATCCAAAAAACTAGTAAGACTACCGCACCGAGCTCTCACTGATAGCGATCTAGTGAAATATGCGAAAGCCATGAAAATTCCACATTTTCGTGGTGTTTATATGAGAAATGACATGCCTCGAGGTGGGCCATGGAAGTATGAATCGGCTATAGTAAATCTTGATGATAAAAGTGGACCAGGCACTCACTGTGTGGCGTATAAAAAGAAAGATCATGAAGTCTGCTACTTTGATAGCTACGGCAATTTACGTCCACCTCAAGATTTAATTGATTATCTCGGTGACGGTAGTATTGTGAAATATAACCCTAAAAATTATCAAGACTATAATACCATCATATGTGGACATTTATGCTTAAAATTTCGCTCTGGTGAATTGGTATAAAACAGCAGAGCTGTTCATATATACATCAGTTTAGTGGTAACCACGATGAGTGACTCATTTACATTGACCTTATCTGGCAGATCTTCTGTACTGGAGGCTTGGTATTTCCCACCCATTGAATTATCACCTCGGAAATCTTACAGTGTGGGACTTGTGCAATTCCTAACGTACAATTCAATTCCTAATATCGATGAAGGACGCAATAAATTTTATTTTCAAAAAGATGAAATGTCAGTACGGCTGACTATACCAACAGGGAGCTATGAAATCAGTGATCTTGAGAAATACTTGAAGAATGAATTATTAGCCTGGAGAATCCCCTTTAGTTTGAAGGCTGATGATCGGACTCTGACCATGGTAATTGAAGTGTCGAATGATATCATCATCAATTTCATGAAATCAGATTCGATTGGGCAACTCCTTGGTTTCCAAGGGGAGATTCTCGCCCATTCTACAATCTATCGAGCTGCCAGACCTCCAGACATCATTCATGTAAATTCACTGCGGGTCGAGTGTAATCTGACTGCAGGGGCCTACATTAATAGCCGACGTGCGCATACGATCCATGAGTTCTTCCCAAGCATTCCAACAGGATATAAGATCATTGAATCGCCTGCTCAGGTCATTTACTTGCCGATCGTTGTGCAGTCAATAGATCACCTGCAATTAAAAATTGTGGACCAAAACGGTCGTTTGGTGAATTTCCGTGAAGAAGTCATCACAGCGAGAATTCATATAAGAGCTGATTAAGAAAATGGGCATTGTCTTTGAGAAGAAGATCGGTGGCAGTTATAAAAGTGAG